GCATCAGCTGGCCCTCGCCGAGACAGGCATATTCCTGTTGTTTGAAGGCTACTGAGGAAATGTTCATAGAAAATTCCGGTAGCACTTGCCATGCTACAGGTTGAGATCTTCCGGGGGTCTTAGTAGGGCTACAACGTACTGACCCGCGTTAAGTGAGGACAGGCCTGGACAGGCCTGCTCGTACCTCTTATCCAGGCCCACGACTCTTCAAGTCACACTTGTAGGCCCGCACCACACCTCAAAACCAAGCAAAACTCCGAACCCTAAGATCCAAGCCCTCAAGCGTAGGCATATAGCTAAAAAAGAGCCAGGTGGCTCCAGAACTCTTCGCCTTCGGCTTCTAAGCCGCACCTTGGCTCCGCCATGGAAAGTGGGGGCCATGGGGGTACAGGCCTTTAGGGTTTCAGGTTTGGAGGTCAGGGTTGTGGATTTTAGGGCTTGAGGGTTCCAGTCGTCTAGGCTCACGATTTAGGGTATGGGGTTTAGGGCTGAAGGTTGAGGTCTACCGCTTTCTGCGGAGGTTTTAGGATGCTTTGGGGCCTTCTTGATCTGAATATGTCGTTGATCTAGTCTTGCAAAAAAAACTAGGCATGGACACTGGGGCCTACATCATTCAGCCAAGTTCTTGTCATGGGCTCCTGAATTTTCAGGCAGCTCTGTCCATAAAATTCGTTGGTTTATCAAACTGCTGCAGGGTCTGTCTTCTGATTCCTTTAGGTGCATACTGTGCCTTGTAGGAGTGAGAATCACCGTCAAGCCTCCCTGTTAGAGATATGCCAGATCCATAAAACATGCCCAAACCTCCACGTCTTCTGCTTTAGGATAGGTTGCTCTCCCATCCAACTGCCACGCCCGTGTACTTCGACTGAATGTTCTTAAACCCCTGACCTTGCTTTTCCTAAAGCCAAAAGCCTAAACACTGACAACCCCAGAACCTAAACCCACCTAAGCCCAAAGCCAAGGTGCCAGGTGATGATGTGTCCAAGAACCTGCTTCAGGTTCTCTTCATTCAGCACCTGTCACGGGATGGTTGAGGGCTTCTGTGCCGAAACGTCTCAAGTTTCGACATCTTGCTCAGAACCTATGAAGCCTACGCTGTAAGCTCTAAGCTCGGATCCTGAACTCTGAGCCCTGAGTTTTGCATTCCTGAAACAACAAAGCCCTGATGCGAGAAATGTACTTTTGAGCTAGCATTCGTCCCAACACAGCTTCTTGATTTTCAACACCAAAAGTAGTTTGAAAAGCTCCTGCAACATATCTTTGTTGTCGCTTCTGTTCTTCATACATGAACCCGTAATCCCTCCCAAATCCTGAACTGCTGTAATTAGCCCCATGTGCCTGGCCCGCGAAGCCTAAAGTTGGCTCCAGGTGGTATGTCCTTGGCTTCATCATTGATGGCACTGGGCCTAAATTCCTGCTCCGAAGATGGGACACGCCTGTAGCAGGACGCGCGCTATCATGAGGACCCACGTATATGCGGAACAAGAGCGAAAAAGAAAGCTTCGCCTGTCTTGAAAGCCTTCATGTTTCACAGGTTCAGAGGACATGAAGAAAATTGCAGGGTTACCACAGTTCCCCGTTTCAGCAGATACTTCGATCCCTGCGGATCTTCGGATTGATGATTCACGGACCGCCCTACTATCATCTCTACCTGCCTGGGTTACATCCTTGACTTCACCCTTCATGTGGTGACCGAGGACCCCAATACCCCCAAACCATAGGGGTCTGGGGTTTGGGGGTGTAGGTTCATGCCCTGAGGTGCCATGCAAGCCGACATTAACATCCCGCGGAAGAAATTGGATTCTCCTGAAGATGACCCCCACCATGACATAGCCATATGAAGGCCTGTGGAAGGCACAACAAGCAGACACCATGCCAAAAGAATCCATGCCGCGTGAGCATTCTCTGGTTTGGGGTTTGCGGTCATGGATCTAGCGCGTTCAGCAAGGACTCTCCCCCATCTTGGGATCAAATTCGCAGGGAGCATTTGTTCAAAACTCCTACGCCTTTATCTAAGCCTAAATTCCCAATCCTAAACTCTACATCCAGACCCGAACTGTCCGTGAAAAACTGAGCGGCTGATGCCACCAACGCCCAGGAAAAATCAAGGTCTCACCTGCCTCCTCTCAAAAGAACTCATGAGGTTTTGGGGTTCTGGGCTTCGCGCACATAGGGTATATAGGTTTCACACGATCCTGGGTTTTGTCTCGGACTTCGTTACAGAGGAGGGATGCCACCAGGCCTTTGGCTGAAAGTGCAAACTTTGGCAGGTGCATGGAAGCATTGCCGGAGTTGGGGGTTTTTACCGGACCATGCCGGCCCTGGACTCTAGTGTGTGCGCCTCCTTTGGGATTCTGCCCCTCATCAACCCGTACCAGCCCAACGTACTTAAGACCCAGAAAACAGGTGGGGACCATATTAAGAACCCATGCTTGAGGCACCTGAAAATGCACCAGCCATAACATCCTAAACAACCTAAGAAGCTAGTCCAGTATTCTTGGCGGTCCCCATCCTGCACATGCTCCAGAGGCGGGGTGCACCCCTTCGCATGCGGAAATCTCTCGAAGTCTGCCTGCAATATCACCTTGCAATCTGTTGGTGAAGCAGGTGTTTGCAAGCAAGGCAGTGATGCGAGACTGGAGATGCGGGCTGCTTTCCTAAAGGATTGCTCCCAAAAATGTAGGTTCATTGAACTGTCTCAGGGGTCTATGCTGCCCAGTATGTGACAAAGTTTTCCGAATCGAAAACAGCAAGTCTCAAACACGACAATCCCAACAGAACCTGAGGGTCTCTCTGAAGCCTTATACACCTGGTTGTCCTGCGCCTGTTTTGGGCACCCAAAATGGCAGGACACCCCATTCAATTCTGTTCAACAATGGCGCGAGGTAAGTTTGGAAACTGCTCATTATGAACTTTCAGCCACCCGAAATCAAATGTCTGTAGAAAGAGAAAGGGACCTTTGGGCCAGCAGTGCGATGGGCAAAAAGGTCGACATCACTGTGCCAGCCAGTGCCTTACCGGGTGCTTCTGGAGATTCTGAATCCACTCTTCGGTGCCCTTCTAAGGGACTGTTGATGCGGGGTAGGTAGGGGGACTTGTTTTTCAGATGCATCATCATCTTTTGAGGTGTAGGTCTTTTCGCGCGATAAGGCTTGATGGAATGAGCGCTGAAAGCTTTGTTGGTGAGGGCTTTGAGGCTTGGAAGTGCTGAAGCCTTTAAGGCTTTGGGTGCTAGGCCTGCTAGGCGAGACAGCCTGATGGGAAGATAAGTCTCCTTTGGGCTTGTATAGGGACTGTTCTGAGTTTGAGAACTTGGGTTTTCAAGAGTTATGGATAGCATTAAACCCCGATAGACGCACCAGCAAAAGGGACCCCTAGTCATTGTTGGAGATTTTCCCTGACAATCATCACCCTAAACCCTGCAAACCCTCAATGCTAAGCAAGAAAGGTTCTTCATCTGCTGCTCAAAGCCAAAGCGCCAATAGTACAATGCTGCGTAGCTGTGGCACCTCCTCTGCTAATGCCGAACCTGAGCCGCAGCAATGCTGTGATGGCTCCTGTTCATAATGACAACTGACAATATAGCCATGACTACCCTAACTCAAACCGGAGTACCAGTAATCATGACAACATAAGGATACTGAGAATGGATGACAACAAAGAGACAAATAGATAGATCGATAGATAGATATAGGTAGATATGATCATATGCGACTATAATAGTACTTGGCACCCTGGACCTGTGTTTGCGTTGAAGACCTGTACTTCAACACCGAGGACGCTGGGCCGCGAACCCGCAAGCCCCTAAACTCGGATCCCCGGCTGTCAGGGCTTCAGCAAGCCCCTTCATCCCTGAGCGCTCAGCGTTTATAAGAGCCATAACCCTCGCTCAAATCTCGAAGCCCTAAACTTAGGCCCTGAACCCTCTGCGTCCTGAACCAAAGAAACATAAACTCCTGAAAACTACTTGGCCTAATCTCCAAATCAGATCTAGGGACGGTCTTTTGATGGGTCGGAACGCTTCAGCGTTCTGCGGCACATCAGGGTAGAAGTGCCAAAGCTTCCTACACGTACTGGTGCCGAAGAGGAGTGGGCGCAAGAATATATATATATATATATACCTACCTTTATGACTGGTCATATAAGGATCGTGATGAGGATCGGCTCACAGAAGCAAAACAAGTCGATCAAAGAGAGTTTCATGCAGTCTTAGAGGCAGCAAACGTAAGATTTAGAGTCTATATAGGCTTCAAAGGGGTGCTTTCCACACTTTTTGCAGTGGCGGTAGGTTCAAAGCAGTTCAGAGCTCTGAAGTAAAGTTTGATGCAGCAACATTGCGTTACAACTGCTCAGCAGAACGAGGTCATGAGGTTGTCCTGGATGGAAGGACAAGGGTGGGTCTCGAAACAATCCGTTCAGCTAGAATCTTGTATGTATCCTTATAGAATTAGGGTCCCTTGGCATTCCCTATTATGGGGCCCAGATCGAACTATCCCACAGCGGGAACCAGTGTCCTTCCGTGGATCAGGCAGTTCCAGCCAGTCCATGCCAGCGGGTCTATGTGAAGGTCAGACCTCGCGCCCGCGCCGCCAGCAATGAGACACAGCCTCACAATTTAAGGTTGTGCTGCCAGGGTTTAGGGTTTGGTGTTCAGGTTTTTGCAATTTCGGGCTTAGGATTGAGGTATTGTTGGCTTAAGGAGTTAAGGTCTTTGATTGGGTTGAGTACATAGAGGTTGCATAGCGAATATCATTATCCTAAATGACACCTTATCAAGGACAGCGGTTGATGCTTACGATGAAGGGCTGAAGCATTTTTGTACAAGCAGCAGCTTTGCATCTCACGTATTTGTCCAAAAACCTTAAAACCCAAAGTCTAAATCCGTTTCCAGATCTGCCCAGAAAGCTTCGAAGGCCGCAGCATGTGAGGAAACTCGCCGAAGAAGTCTCCTCAGCAGCAGTTAGCGAGCAAACGCCAAAATGAATCCTCATAGTAGTCCCTATTGAGTCTCCATACGATTCTCCCAGGCATGGAGGGGTTCAAGGCTCGTCGGAGGAAGGCCGGAGCCGCTTTCCAGAGCGACTCTGCTAAGGAGGTTGTCGCCACAACGTTTTCCTGGGATAGGGCTTGGGATCTGGGGCTTGGTTGAGAAGATTGTTGGCTGTGTGTACACTTACAAAAAAGAGCTGGCAGTGTCTGTATAAGCGAAGTTGGCATTGTAATCGACAACTCAAGCAACTGCCGGTTTCTTTCCTCAATTCTAGGAGGTTTCTTGAAACTGGGGGCCGCTGGGCAACCTGTCTTTTTCGTATATTCGTATCATGTATTAACTGAGCTACAATTCCACTGTCGGGTTCGCAGTTACTAATTCTGTCAGGAAACCTAAAACTCCCATCCAGGAAAATACGCAGAAGTTTTTTGGGCTGGCTTGCAGTAAAAACAGCATAGAAAGTGTTTGGACCTGACACGGCTTAGATTCGTCCATGAGCAGCACTGAACTCTCGTGACAGGAATGCGGAAGGAGCTGTGCCAGCACATGCTCCAACTTGCCAGTTTCAAGCTTGACGCCTCCTGCCATGAACACGCTTGAACCCCCCCCCCCCCCCCGAGGAGCACAGGAAGATAGTCCGCTAGTGATTTGACTGCTGCAGTGGCAAAATTATGTTTCTTGGGGGTGGGTTTACTCAAAGCCTCTTGCTATTATACTGCCAGTATTCATCAAATCATAACAAGAAGGCCTGCAAAGACCCTACCCTCAAGTACATCAGAGCCGGAAGCGTATAGACAGCGGAGAGCTCCCATGTGTCTTAAACCCAATGCAGCATACTTGATACTTCCTACATCAACCTGGACCTGAAGAATTTGTTCGTGAGACCCTCTGAAACATCTCCTCCGGATGCCACATGCTTGCACTCAACATCTCGATTGCCAGCCTGCTCCCAAGCAGGACAAGGCATTGGAGGGCTCCCTTTCAGTTCTTTGGTTTGAAAGACTCAATCACAGGACAACATACTTTGAATCAGTGCCACAGGACAGGGATGACCCCTTCTCACACTGCGGAAATCATTGCAGCAGCTCACGATTCAGCAACATGTCTCAGAGCGCGAACCGCAGCATCTTCCTGCAAAACAAAGCTGTAACCTGATGTTATGGTAGTTCTCTGTTATCTTCTGTGTGAGCCATGAGAAGCAGATGGGACATTGTATGCTATTAACAAGGTTCAAAAAGATCCAAGCATCATGCGTGCAGAAAGTCTTCCTGTTCGTGTGTGCTTGTATGTTTGCACGACACATCTGGACGTCAAAGGCAACAGTGCCTACCATGTGAGCGTGACATTGAGACAAACCATTCATCTTTGTCCAGTTTCTTCTGCGCTCCGCTGAGCAGGGCAAAAAGTGAGCCTCTTGATACCCAAAACTGCATTTCTTCCAGTGCCCTGTTGCAATGAAGTTGCTCTGTGAAAATACCAGAATCCGCCCAAGAAAGTTCTAGTTTGGTATGGCCTTCACCATCGCCCATGATTCACTGTGAGGCTGGGCGATCACCCCAAAAGGTGCTTAGAGTTCCTTATCTGAGGGCGAGAGCTAAAAACAACAGGTGTTAACCAAACTGTTCGTGGATACATGGGGGCATTAGTCTGTTTGACGAAGCTCTCCGCCTGAACTTGCTCCAGACCAAATTGGAGGTTCAAGAGTGGCTGTCATGAATGAATTAGGTTATGAGTGCCCTACTCTAAATCTTTGTGTGCACAAATGTACTTCTCCAGGAGCAAAAGTCTCCAACAGCTACTCATGAACTTCCAAATCTCCGAACCTGAACCGAAACCTTGCACCCTGAACGCTATGCATCATAAACAGCGAACTTGAACCCTGTACCCGAACTCTTGGGCCTAGCCTCTTCCAGTAAAGCATCTCGACAGCGGTCTCCAGAAATTGTTTGGAATGAGTTTGGCAGGACCTGGAGGAGCATGCAATAGGAACGTTGCCAGCCGACAAGTGTAGCTGGCTTACAATCTGTTCCAAGTTAGGGTGTTGTGTTCAGGCGGCTACCAGACGCCATCATATCTGGCAAAACATGCCATTAACGGAAATCGAGGAGCAACCAGGCTGTCCATAGCACTTGTGGGGTCCAACGCGCCACTGCATATCTGCTTGGAAAGACGGAACATGGCTTGGCCGCGCCGCGACGCCTTCGAGTAATCCTGTCCACTGCGGGGCTCTCGTTGCCATGGACACCCATCTGTGGGATCCTCTCCAATGTGTACAAGTCTTAAGGTTTAAGGTTCCTCACATAACTGCACCGTCAGACTGAGCTTTGTTGCTTTAGGTATGGGCACACTCTTGAAAACATGTTAACTTGTCAGACTTGTACCTGACGCTAGCTGAAGACCGTGCTGCAAGAAACCTCTGCTGCAATAGCGCCTAGAAGACTTTAAGCGGGATGATCGGATCTGTAGGTATGTTTGCAGGGTCAATCCCATATCGCATGCCCGGCGTGAAGGGGCAATTGCCTGTTTGCGTGTCTCATTGTCAGAATTATGGTGCGAGAGCTTTGGCCGGCGGCCGGGAAAGAAACTTCAGCATCAAGATGCCAGGTGTGCAATGCCAAGCATATCAACACTCTAAATCCCAAAGCCCACTCCAAGAACCCCGAGGTCCCCAAACACTACCCAAATCCCAAGCCCTTATACAAGCAGAAAATGTACAGCGAGCCCGTTGACAGGCGAAGGAACAGCTAGAAATTGGCAATGTTGACAACCAGATAAGCAGCCCGTGAAGCATTTGAACCCTGCAGCCAACAAGCGCACTGAGGCACACCGAGGTTTCGAAACAGATGTACCTTATCACGCAAAAGGAGCTTAGTGCCCAGAACATACACGTCCCACTCTCGCTGTATCTGCGCAAAAGGGCACGCAAAAGGTGGGCACAAACCAGAGCTCTTCTTCGCAGCTATCCCTCGCGTGCATAGCTTTGCCGGTCGTAGGAGGCATGAAGGTGAGACGGGCCTCATTGTAGCATTTGCTGGCGGCAAAGTAACAATTCTGGTTCTTCTCCAAAATAGGAGCGATGAAGAATGAACGCTGCAGGAGGACATGAGAAAACACAACAGCAAGACCTTTTAGGAAGCCCCACAAGTAAGTGCTGATGGGGAGATCCAGTCCTCGCTCAGAAAATTATTTCTCATCTCAACGACTCAGTCGACGGCCCTAGTGCATTGCAAGTACATAAGCAGTTTTGCGAAGATGTCGAGCTAAGTGTTCATGTTGCGTACCATGTCCAGAACACTTCCGAAGTACAATTTCCTACTGCAAGGACATAATCAACGAGCCCCATTATTTCTTCGACTCGTGCTGCCTTCTACTACCCTCAATCCAGAAGGCTAACCCCCAATCCTAATATCAAAACCTCTGAGTCCGGAATCCTCTACGTAAACCCCCCAAAAAAGCATGGAGAGCTACAGATGAGGTGGTGCTCTGCACCAAGCTCCTGCAGGTGCCTCTTCCGCCGTGCGTTCCGAGGGAATTCTAACTTAAGGCTCAGAGGCTTCAGAGTTTGTAAGTTCTGGGTTTAAAGCCTAATTTAAAGATTGGGGTTGTGAAGGTTTCTGGTTCACACAGAGATGTGATTTTAGGTTTTAAGGGTTTGTTAGGCCTAGGATTCTTAGGGTCCCTCGCTTTGCGCGCTTCACCTGCTTTCCATATAAAGTTGGTTGTTCCTACAAAAAAGCTGAAAAGCAACTAACATGTTTTGGCTGCTGGCGGGAATATGCGCCAGGCCACTGAAACATGGGTCCAATCAACTTTTGCTCGCAGGTGTCGCTCTCATTTTTCATTGGTGGTCGTGTAGTTTCAGATGCATGTACCCTCGACAGAACGTGTTTTGGAACCCTGTACATGCACTCAAAAACATTGCCCAGGAAACCTAGTACGCTCAAGGTAAAGTCTCATTTAAACAACTCACATATTTCGGCATCTCTTCAGAAGAGTAGGGAGCTGGCACTGCGCGTCGGCAACCAGTCATCATCGCGATACGTGAGCTGAATTGATAGTTTCCCCAAATCAAGGGCCATCTGCCAGAAAAAGGGCTCAAGGGGGTAGGATTTTGAATTTTGGGCTTGGTTCGATCTTTGCAAGTGCTGCCCACAACCTTTCTAAGACGATACTTTGACAATGATGCTGTGCAGGCCCTCAATTTTGGAAGTAGAGAGAGATGGTGATTCCATTTTTACAGCACTTAACACGGTCAGTTTCAAGGCCTGGCATTCTTGGAAAGCAAAGGCCCCGATTTTTGGGAAAGCCCCAGGGAGGGCCGTGCAATGTGAAAAGCCACTCTGGCTCTAACACTTTTCGCGGAGACTGCGCAGCTCGAGGATCTTCGAACCTGCTGCCGCGCTCTCAAGTGGAGAGTGCCACCTTCTGGAATGTGAAGTGTACCTCACCTTCCACATGCATAGGGGCACAACACTGCCTCCAACACACACTGCCTCCAATATAAGATGACGAATAAGTGGACGGCGAAGTGGCTATAGGCTTGCCATGGAGCAACAACATCAAGGGTCCTGCATCTGGAGAATCTATGTCAGAGAATAGGGTTTCGCCTGGGGTGCA